GAGAACTAAAAAGCAGCTTTTGGTATACCATGAAATTTGGATATTTATTTAAGAGTTACTTAAATAGTGGTCCTGAACGTATTTGGTTTATAGATCCTTTTGAGAACAATGAAAACGTGGAATCCCTCTCCCAAAAAAAGACATGAATGCACATACACAAACATGCAGTTTCAGGAATTCTCTACTCCCCTCAACCTACCATGGACTTTATATTATCTTGTTTTGGAAACTACTAATAGACCACTTTCAGTTTAAAGCAATTTATATGGTAAAATTTTCAAAGTTATTGAAATGTGTAATAATCCATTTTTTCCTCTCCATATAGACTACTTTGCTCTATTGCCCTAGCTCGATAGATTTACAAACATTAGCAGAATGGAACTCTTCTCCCATTAGCCACCAGTTTGATGTGATTAGTCCATCACACATATGGATATTTGCACATGTGACCCAAGGCCAAGACCCATGGATTATAAGTCTCTCCAGTTTTTTAAAGCAAGAAAATCTTCCTAAACACTGCTCTACAGCTGTGAGCTATGCTTGGATGTTTGCATACACAAGACTTCAGTTGTTGTCCCCTCAGGTCGATATAAAGTAAGTTATTTTCCTAGTGTAAATTTAAAAATGTGTAGACTGTCAGCTTTTGTATGTATTTATTTGAAAAATACAAAAGTATTACAGATTGGAAGGCCCATAAATAATATGTGATACTGTATTGATGTCTTAAGGAGGGAGAAGAATGTTGTCAAGGACATAGTGTCATAACTTCTTCATCCTTTTCATGTAATACAGTCTCACCAAATTTTAATTGTTTACTTAATAACACTGTACTTGGTACATAGTTGTGTCCATTGAATCTGTGTTACGGGAAAAAATTAGGAAAGGATCTGAAGATGAGTATGGATGTAGATACAGAAGTTTGTAGATAAAGGGTGAGAAGCAGAGCGAAACAGCTCAGTGGCCTTACTTTTCCTGATGACAGTATAAAGAAGGCCACCTTCTGGTGGGGAGTGGTAGTAACACACTGAGTAGTGGATGTGAGGATGTTGGTAAAGTTTTGGAGTAACTGATTATGAAATGGAGAGTTGACCAAGGCCATTATAAATTTTAGTTAATTTTTTTTTTTTTTTTTTTGCTCTTAAATACAGAGGAGAATTTTTGAATCTGGGTTTGGGTTCCTGATTTCCCCTTACATAGATCACATTGAATGGAATGAGTCCTCTCAGCATGTAACTTGCCCCTGCAAACCCAGCATCTGTACTGACCTATCACTTGAGGCCTACATTAAAGGCTCTTCAAATCTGACTTCACTCTGTACTTTTTTTCTTACTTTCTATCAATACCTTCAATGTTGGAACCAAATTATCCCCTCAAAGTTCATTACATGTGGTTGACAGTTTCCATTTTGTGAGCTTTTGTTCACATGAGCATAGGATACCTTTTTTTTTTTTAATTTTTGCGTATCTATGTCTGATATAGTTCAAATTCAATCTTATTTTTTAAAATCTCTTAAACTTCCTACCCAGAATAGTCATTCTTACTTTTGGATTTGAATATATATACAATTAGTAGAAATAGTATTTCTACTAATTGTATATATATGGTCTCAGGTATTGTGTATTGGATTTCTTTTTTGTTTTGTGTTGTTTTTCTTTCTTTTTTTTTCTTTTTTTAAAGAGACAAGGTCTCGCTGTGTTGCTTAGGCTGGAATGCAGAGGTGTAATCATAGCTGATTGCAATCTCAAACTTCTGGGCTCAAGCAGTCCTCCCACTTCAGCCTCCCAAAGTGCTGGGATTACAGTTGTGAGCCACCACACCTGGTCTAGTTGTTACTTTTTTAATAAAGATTGACATTTGCCACCTTGCATACCATTTATGACCTTATCTTAAGTAGCCTTCTCTAATTACCATATTTTAAATTATAACCCCATCTCCTAGCAGCATTCTTTATCTCCCCTTTCTGCTCTATTTTTCTTCATCAAACTTAACACCATCTGACATTGTTTTATTTATTTCTTTATTGTATGTCTCCCATAGCCCACATGGGGGCAGTGATATTTTTGACAGTTTTTTTAAACTGATATGTTACCATACCTAGTATGTTAACATACTAGGACATTGTTCTATGATACTCTTACTGAATTAATGAAGTGGTGTGTTTGCATTACTTACCTTAGCATATTACAAAACTTGTTGAAGGCAAAGATTATATATTTGTATTTTTCCTCTTTCGCTTTGCTTTCAGTCCTTAATTCTTACATAATTTTGGTATTTGGAAAGATTTATGGAATTGTTTCAAAATATTTTATTGGTGTAACCTTTCAAGACAGAAATTTGGCAGAAACCTTGAAAATATGTATCTTCTTTGACTCTGTGATTTCATTTTCAAGAATTACCTAAGAAAATAATTAACCATATATTCAAATGTATAGTATTGTGTATAATAGGGAAAAATTGCTATTAGCTAAAATGTCAAACAACAAAAGCTTGGTTATATAAAATATGATACTTTATATTTATATAGCATATGATAAATCAAAATAATGTCACAGAATATTAATTTACATAGAGAGGTGAAAATACATAAGTCTGAAAAGTTGATACAAAATAAAATAAACATTTAATTTGTATAAATTAAAAGATGTATTCATGCATTTACGGTTCATGTATATGAATTAAAGATATATAGAATATGCAGTGTTTATTTTCATGTGGGATTAAAGATTATTTTGATTTTTGTTTTATTTTCTTTCTACATTGAGGATACATAATAAGTTATAAAATACGGCCCAATAAAATATTAACTTTTATCACAGGAATAATAATGTTAAAATGATCTGGTAATATATTTTAATTTTTAATCCAGTACTTTATTCATTGATATCAGTCCACAAAAACAGTACTAGTCATAAAAACCTTATGCTAACCATCTCTCTAATTAGCATTAGGCCAGGAATGGTGGCTCACCCCTGTAATCCCAGCACCAGCACTTTGGAAAGCCGAGGCAGGTGGATCATCTGAGCTCAGGAGTTAGAGACTATCCTGGGCAACGTGATGAAACCTCATCTCTACCAAAAATACAAAAAATTTGCTGGGCGTGGTGGCGCACACCTATAGTCCTAGCTACTCTGGAGGCTGAGGTGGGAGGGTCACTTGAGCCTAAGAGGTGGAGATTGCAGTGAGCCAAGATTGTGCCACTTGCACTCTGGCCTGGGTGACAGAGAAAGACTCTGTCTCAGAAAAAGAAAGAAAGAAATACAGCATTAGTTAAAATAAACTTTTAAAAATGTGTTGTGTTATTCATATCTGCCCATTTTTCTTTTTTTTTCCTTAGTAGCCCCATCAATGCTAAGAAAGTAAATACCACCACAAGCAGTGACTCATACATTGGCCTGTGGAGAAACTATCTGATCCTTTGCTGCAGTGCAGCAACATCGTCATCTTCCACATCTGCAGGTTCTGTGAGATGCTCTCCTCCTGAGACGCTGGCGTCTACCCCAGATAGCGGCTATAGCATTGATTCCAAAGTAAGTTTCTCAGATCCACTGTTGGATCTGTGAAATCTGAATGGCCCCATAAAAATAAGATTTTAAAATTTCTTTTTATGGACAATAAAGTAACTCAGTTGAAAGTATATTACTTACTTGCAAAAAGGAAAATACCTCAAGAAAGCCCATCATTGTTTTTATGGATTCCTAGTCAGAATCAATAATACGTACATAGTTTTCCATTGGAAAGAAAGACCCATGCCCATTCAGTTTATCATACTCGTTATTTTAAAAGAAATTGTCATACCTATTTTCCCATATTCCAGTTTTTGTAGTTCTCACACTTCTGAGAACCCAAAAGGAATCATTTACATAATTAAATGCCTTTCTAGAATTTCCCTAAATCATGTAGTGATCTAAAGGGTACTGGATAGGAGCAGTGGTTTTGTTTTCATGAAAATGACAAAACTTAAGACCAGAGTATCTGATTTTAACACTGATGACTATTTTAGAAGTCATTTTGTTTTCTTCATGTTCATGGATCGAAAGGTACAGAGTATCTGATGAAGGGAGTCAGCCTATTATATGATTGTGAGTGAGGGTAAGAAATTAGGAGCCCCAAGTTTTGTTAATGAGCTTGCATTAAGCCATTGGATACGTTATTTAACCTTTTAAATTATGTACACCACAGGTGAAATTTGAGGTGTCATTCATAGTAAAGTTTCATCTGTCCATTTATCCTTGACCTACGACTACTGAAATCTCAGATTATCTAATTGGACATAGTATCATTAGTGGCTGTTATAAATATAGTATTTTTTTTTTCCAGATTATTGGCATCCCATCCCCTTCATCCTTGTTTAAGCACATAGTTCCAATGATGCGCTCTGAGAGCATGGAAATCACAGAATCCCTTGTTCTAGGTCTTGGCAGGACCAACCCAGGAGCTTTTAGGTAACTATGTTCATACTTTTTTTTTTTTTAAGCACTAAAAGAATAAATGTGCTACTTAGAAGGTGTGGTAGGGTCAAGCAGAGTGCTTATTGGGATGGTCACATACCAGGCCTGACTTTCACCAATTAACTAGCCATGTAACATTTAGCAAGTCATTTATTGGAAGTTTTATTTCCTCATTTTGACTGAGCAGATTAAAACTTATCTATGTATTCTAGAAATAATGAAATGCCCTATAAATATTTAGTATTTTCCTACTATATTTATTTATGTAGTCATTCTTTTAATGTGTAATCTTGGTCTAGTAGTTAAAAATCCAGTTTTCCCCCTGCTTATCCAAGAGAATTAGAATATCTTTCAAAAAGTATTTACATAGATGTTTGATATCATTCGTGATTTTTTTATATTAATGAAGCAAATTCTTCAGTTTTGCCTGAAGTTCTGCCTTGTTGTCTCCTGGGCATGGAATTTATTCTTTTGAGAATTTCCTCAATTAATGTGAGAATGGTATCTGATGTTTTGTCTCCAAGATAACCTGTACAACCAGGAAATAGGTTAATACCCTGGTTTATCTTCAGATTGTATAAATCTTCTGCCTTTTGCTAAAGATTTCCATGGAAAGGAACATTTAAGTAAAAAAGAATAGGTTAATAAATTGTAATATATCTATAGGTGTGGGATAGCATTTCTTATAAATGAAGTTTTGGAAAAACTTTCAGATTTTCCCAATCTTAAAATAAGCACATTTTCAATTTAAAATCAAAATATAAATAAAGATAAATTTATCATTTTTACAAAGTTCATACCCTTTGACCCGTTAATTTAATTTGTAAAATTAATCCTAAGGAGATAGAAAACAGTGATAAATATACAAAGTTGTTCACAGAGGCAATATTTTTAGTAAGAGAAAATTAGATAAAATATAATGATTCATTAATAAATGAAAATGTCTAGGAAAATTATGGTACCCCACTCTGTGTTTGAATATCATGAATTAGTTATTGGCATATAAAATTAACTATGTTAGTGTAAGAAAAGAAAAAAGGAGGCCGGGCACGATGGCTCACACCTGTAATTCTAGCACTTTGGGAGGCTGAGGCAGGCAAATCGCCTGAGGTCGGGAGTTTGAGACCAGCCTGACCAACATGGAGAAACCCCGTCTCTACTAAAAATACAAAAAATTAGCCAGACATAGTGGTGCATGCCTGTAATCCCAGTTACTCGGGAGGCCGAGGCAGGAGAATCACTTGAATCTGGGAGGCGTAAGTGGGAGTGAGCCAAGATCACGCCATTGCACTCCAGCCTGGGCAACGAGAATGAAACTCTGTCTCAAAAAAAGAAAAAAGGATACCATTTTATATAAAATAGTTTGAACTAAGTAAAATGTATGTCACTTGCAAACTGATTGAATAAAAGTATTGGTAGTATTCCCTCTATAAATTAAAATAAGGGGCCTATACCATTTTTTTCCTGGTTTCCAAATAATCTATAATATAATGTGTTATTTTATAAACAAAATAAAACAATAGACATTGCATTTAAAACAGTAGGATTCGAATTAACACTTGTCAGTTTACATCATATCTTTACATATTTACATGTGTCAAATTATATCTGTGTAGCTATTAATAGAGTATGTACCATTTTTCTTCTAGGGAACTAATAGAGGAATTACATCCCATAATTAAAGAAGCACTCGAAAGAAGGCCGGAGGTGAGCTGTGTTCTGCAGCCTTCTATTAGTGAACATTTATTTTTCTGCCATATTTACATGTTATATCAAAAGTTAGAAATTAAGACGATTATCTAGTGTATTCTTATTTTTAAGATGCAGACACTTCCCCTCCCCCCAGAAGATCTTATGCAGAAACCCATTATGTAAAATGAATGAACAATTGCTTTAACTTAAGTAAGGGCAGAAAATAGGGTCTAGGTTGGAGGTGGCAAACTTTTTCTGCAGATAAATATTTTCAGCTTTACAGGCCTCTACTCAACCTTGCCTTTGTAGCATGAAAGCATTCATAGACTACATTAAAAAAAGGAGTGTGGCTATTTTCCAGTAAAACCTTATTTGCAGTAACAGGTAGCCGTGGGCCAGATTTGGCCCATGGGCTGTAGTTTCAGTTCTGAGCAACTTTCAGAAACTATAGGTCCAGTGGGACAGATGGTTGCATAACCTTAATTCTAGCAATTTATTACGTACTCAAATAAAATCATAGAGAAGGGATTCTAAGAACTACAGAGAGAAAAGCCTGGGACTCTGGTTGCAGGGTAAGGAAGGCATTATAGATGAAGTGCTGATATTTGAGATGAATTTTGAAGCATGTTTCCCAGTGGACAAGCAAGGGAAAAGTATTCTGGGTGAAGAACAGCATTTGCAAACTTTACAAAGAAGTTTGAAATGGCAAATTTTTCTGTATAATTATATTATGGGGGAAGTGATTGAATATTAGGCTGAATAGCAGGATGAGAAATAACTCATGAAAAACTACTAGTTTTAGTTTTAACCAATAGACCAGTAGTTCCTATGCCTGTGGCATCTGAGAATTACCTGGGGAGCTTGCTAAAAATTTTAGACTCCTGGGCCTATTGAATGAGAATCCCTGGAATAGGGTCCAGAAGTCTATTTTTGTAAAGCATCTTAGATGAGTCTGCTGTAGAACATTGTTTAGTAATCAGTGCTGTTAATGTCAGGGATCCCCTGAGGAATTTAAGCAGGAGAGGGAGATGGTGATAATCCCTGCAGTTTAGGGACTTTGAAACATCATCTGCAATTCCTCACTCTCCTTTAATTCAGCACTGTAGGGTCATGATAGTATTCCCATTTTGTCATTGATTTGATTTTTGTTTCAGAATGATCAGTTTGGTTACAGTGCTGGATGACTTATTAGAGAAATGTAAGCTTGAAACAAAACGAAATAGCAGTATTTATTTTTCTGAATTTCAGAAGGAAAGCTATTAAACACATACGGTGATGTGCCTTGAATATGAGTTATAGTTTAAGAGCTTTAGACTCACACCGTTTCTCTGAAGACAAAATGAAAACAGGCCAACCAAACTGCAAAAACGAGTTGCAGTAATCTTCAAAGACTGATAAGAAATCATCCTGTCCCAAATGAATTACTGTCAACTTTAGAAAGAGCCCAGAGAAGAGTAAATGTAATTGATTAGTCATTAGTAAAATGTCACGCACCTGGAAGGCAGAAAAATTGGGTCATGGACGAGAAAGTGAAAGACTAGTAAATATGTTTTTAATTGCTCTGTAATTTGAAAATTACATCACAAATGAAATAATGAGCTATTATTAGTAGAAGGTGATATAGGTGATCGATATCTCTTACATGACTTTCTGCTAGAAGCAGAATCAAGTTGAAATGTTACAACTATTATTCTAGGCATTATTCTAGTTCTTTGGACCTAATAATACAAACATATTTATTCATATCGTAATGAGTAAGGGAGTTTTTCTCATATTTGTTTATTTTTTTGTGCCAAAATTAATCGTTGTGTAGAAAACTGTGGCATGAGCAAAATCTTAAGTTCTTTTTAGGATTGTTTTCCCTACACTTATGTCATATTTTTGGGAGGGTATTAGGGATTCTTTATTAGTCCATGATAACGGTTTACTAATTACTTAGATTCTAAAACTGTCTGATTAGCAAATAACCTAAAAATGTAGTATTTTACTTCCCCTGACACACAGGGGTTGTCACCATGTAAGATGTCATGTGACTTTATTTGACTCATTCATTTCAGACTGTTCACACATATCTCTTTGAGGCAGTAGCTACCAGAGTACCTACAGTCTACATTGTACAAGCAAAATAACTTCAGTGAGCCCAGAACCTCTCTCTGAGACATTCACATTATTCTTTCCAAGTTACACCCGCAAGATTTTAATTAATATGTTTGTATCTTTGGAATAGAATATGAAACGGCGCAGGCGTCGAGACATTTTACGAGTACAACTGGTACGAATATTTGAACTGCTGGCAGATGCTGGTGTCATTAGTCACAGGTCAGTATTGGATTCAGATTGTTAAAACTGGAATGATCCTAGAGAACGTAATCTCTTTTCACTCATGAAATGTATAAAAACAGAAAAGCACCATTGCAACAAGAAAACCTGTATGTATCACTATGAAAATTATTTAACAAATATTCGATACACTAACCAATAGCTAAAAATGTATTGAAAAATCTACCACCAGAATTGGATTGCTTCTGGCAAAAAATGGATATAATGTTCCTATGATTTTGATATTTGTTGGAACCTAGTTATCTTGGCAAGTGGATGGTAGTAGCTTTTTCTTCACAGATTTTCCTGTTTTTTACCTCTAAAGATTTTTTCTTCTGAGCTTGAAAAAATAATATATTCACAGGTTAAACATTATAAGGCTTACAAATTTATTCCAATGAACTTGTTAATCCTGCCAGGAAAAATTATGAAATCTACAAATATAATTCATAACAGTTTTCCACCCTTCACAGACAAAACCATGAAACCTGGAGATATTGCCGCAGTAAAGGCATCTTCACACTAAGCCTAGCCCCTTGAGGAAAATTCCATCAGCCGAATGTTGAAAAATAACTATTTCCTTAGGAGGATAATGGTGTTACCTGACCATTGAAGGAGAAAAATAATAGATCTGACCATATCCAAAAAAGGTCACTGAAAAGATATCTTAAGGAAAAAAAAAATGGACCAGGTGCAGTGGCTTACGCCTGTAATACCAACATTTTGGGAGGCTGAGACGGGTGGATCGCTTGAGCCCAGGGGTTGGAGACCAGCCTAGGCAACATAGCAAAATCCCCTCTCTATAAAAAATGCAAACAATCAGGCGGGAATAGTGGCAGACCAATAGTCCCAGATACCTGGAAGGCTGAGGTGGAAGGATCACCTGAGCCCAGGACATTGAGGTTGCAGTGAGCCTTGACCATGCCACTGCACTCCAGCCTGGGAAAAGAGCAAGACTCTGTCTTGAAACAAAAAGGAGAAAAAGAAGTATTAATAATACAAGTGTAGTAACTATGGTAACTGCATGGCATTATTCCTTTAGCATTTCTCCCGATTATTTATTTTACCTAACACCTTTCATATGTAGCATTGAATGCTTTTGACAAATGCTTTCAAAATAGATTTTTAATCAGAGTATTATTTAAACTATTGATTTACTTTTCTTTCCTAGTAAAAAGCAAATAAAGAAATATTGGCCGGGTGCAGTGGCTCACACCTGTAATCCTAGCACTTTGGGAGGCCGAGGAGGGCAGATCACCTGAGGTCAGGACTTCGAGACCATCCTGACCAACATGGTGAAACCCCATCTCTACTAAAAATACAAAAATTAGCTGGGCATGGTGGTGCATGCCTGTAGTCTCAGCTACTCGGGAGGCTAAGGCAGGAGAATCGTTCAAAACCAGGAGGCAGAAGTTGCTGTGAGCCAAGATAGTGCCATTGCACTCCAGCCTGGGTGAGAAGAGCGAAACTCTGTATCAAAAAAAAAGCAAAGAAATGCCATTCTCTTTTTTTCTTTCACAAAAAATAAGAGTTAGGAAAAGTAAAATTGAAACTTGCTGGCTTGATGCAAAAAATTAACAACCTGATACACATCTGAATCTTTTTTTTGGTTGCTTTAATTGTAGCGTTAGTAGAAGAACCTTTAAATGGTTCTATTTTAG